TAAAAAAAAAATATTGAGAAAAATCTATTAATTGAAAAAGGAATATGTTAATTTAAAGAAATAAATACAGAAATTGACAAATACTCATTGAATTGTTCTCTATTTTGATTGAATGATACAATATTTTACAAAAAGATCGTTTTTGTTTTGAAACATAATCATTCCATCACTGAAAACAATTATGCGGTAATTACAATCTAAGTTCTCTTGCTGCTAAATTTAATAATTATCTTTTCTAATTTTCAAAAATGTAATATGCATTTTACAAGTAAATTACAAAACTACCATTAAATAGTTTGAAAGAATTTTAGTAGAAAATTTAATCCAAATATGTCAAAAAAGCATTAAGAAAATATATTTAATAAACATAAATTATTGAATTCTTGTTACCGTGGCGCTTTCGATTATCGATCAAACAAACGCTTCTATCTCATTTCTCAGTGTAGCGTGAAAAAATTTCAAATTTTTCGTAATAACTTCAACTAGAAGTCGATTGATAAAAAATGCAACAGGCCAGAAAAAAGAAGAACAAAGGTAAAAGGAGGAAAGTGAAAAAGAAATGCTTGGACGAAAAAGATACCTTGTCTTATGAACAAGAGATTTTGGATAACAACAGACAATTGGCACGGTAACATGCATAAACTTATAATAAAATAAAAATAAATGAATAAATACATACAATGAAATTTCGACTAATTCAGGATTGATTTTATATTATTTTTTAATTATTCCGTCTTCTGTTATTTGACGATTTTTTGTGTATTAAAAATATTACATATAGGATGATTTAACAAATTAATATCATGAAATTAAATTTTGTTTAAACAAAAATGTAGAAGATACTCTATTATACATACAATTAAATTAGTGCAGAGTCTTCCATAATAATAATAGTATTGTAAAACTATGAATTGGCAATTGTTTTATTTTCGAGATTATTCTAAAATTCGAATTTCACTTTTAACTAAAAATTTATTTAAATTCTTTTCTGTGATTAATAATTGTTTGCATTTGGAATGTATAACATAAATTACCTTGGAATATAAAAGTAATTTACAGCAATATTTTTTGTTTAAATAAACAATTTTCTCTTAAAATTTTTCATATTATCTGATATATCTAAGACATTAACACAGATAAGAAATGAATGAAACACAAACGAAAATACAAATTTAAAAGGATTAATGGATTAACAAAAACAAGTTAGGTTAAGAAGTCGAAATGAAGAAATGGAGGAAGAAACGGAACTCGCGAAAGCGAAGTTTCAGCAATTGGAGGAGGATCGTTCGGACGTAATCGCGTATTTGAAGAGAAATTTGGAGGAGAAAATCGAGGAATCAAAGGAACTCTCTGAACGACTCACTGCCTTGGAAGAATTACGAAAAGACGAGCTGGCCGTTTACAAGAAGAAGGAAGAAGCAATGGAATTGGAATACCGTACGATGGTGAACAATTTGACTGCAGAAGTCAAATTAGCCGGTGAGGTATATGTACCTACTTTTCTTTTAATTCTTTTTTTAAGAATTAAGGGACCTTTATTTTTGTAATATATTTTAGTTTGTAAACAGTTATTATATTAGTTCTGATTTTTTACTTTTAACTGTTTTCTTTGCACTTTACGTTTGAATAATAAAAAGAGAAATGTATACATATGGAGCTGATTTAAATATAAAAGCTTTTAGTTTCTAAATATACAAGCAATTTAACTTCAGGAAAATTTTACTTAACACTTAATATTAGAATAGTGAAATCTTTTATTTTTCATTTTTAAAAATCTTTTGTTTTTCTTCTTTACCGTCTGTCAAAGAAAAAAAAAACAAAAGTGTCGGGGACTTTTGCGTCACCCTGTATATTCGTAAAATTGCTTCTTACTTTTTTAAAATTTGATTTTTACTTTTCCAATGCCATGGTATTTTAAAAAATTGTACTTATGACGTTAATCTTGAATATTTTCGCAATTTATTTACGAAGTTATTTCGAAGTATTCATTTTTGTACATGGCTTTGTTGTAAATAAAAAATTAATAGGTTCGAAATTTTATCTTCCTTTCATCGAAGGAAATTTTATTATTTATCCTAACTTTTTCCTTCGATTAGCTGGCAAATTAAACGCACTAGAAGATTGGCGATTATCTCGACTCGATTTGATGCAAAAGTTCGAGGTCCAAGAGAAACAAATGGCTGAACAAGAAAAACGTCATAAGGAAGAACTTTATGAAGCTGAAAAATCTACTGTGATTGGAAAGGCAATGTATGTTTCATTAGAAAATGCAATTATTCGATCATGAAATATGCACTTCAAGTAGTTTAACAAGCCAAACAGTTTGAAACAACAGGGACAAAAATAAAAAAAGAAACGGAAATTACAATTTCACACTCAAATTTCCATTAAAAAGTTTTTAAATACCTT